CCTGCCGCCGGCCGCCGCCGCGCCCGCCGAGAGCCGCCCCGCACGCGGACCCGCACGGCACCCGACCCTTCGCGGAACCCTCTGGGAAGCCCTGACCGCGCTAGCAGCCGGGCTTGCCTGGCCCCGCCTCGGGAGCCACAGCCAATCACCGATCGTACGTCACGGGCGTACGTTCAATATTCAGAAGAACTCTCTCAGGCCTTCCTCATTGGGCCTCTGCCGGGGGTGGGGGTGGGGGGAATGTAGGAACCAGCCAATGGAGAGGAGGCTCCTATGAATTATTGATGACGGGTCCGTCCGGTGGGCGGGGCGGCGGCGGGTGCAACCTGAGCCGGGTGATTCCGGCACCTCCTTCTGGTCGCCTGGACCCCACCTCTAGCCAGGTGGCATCGGCTTCTGGGCAAATCTGAGCTGGCACGAACGCACCTCTGCAAACTGCTCCGTCTCCTGGGACCTTACTCGTTTCAAGCCTTTGGACGTCAATGGTGAGGAGGAAAAGTTCTGAAAGTTGACAGACAGGTTCTTCTGGGCACTGGCGGGTCCTTATTCCCCTAGGCTCACCGCTGTAACTGACAGGACCTGGGCTCCAGTGTTCTTGGGTCATGGCTCTCCTACTTGAGGCTGCCTCGACTGATCATTTGAAGGCCCTTTCTCCTTAGTTCGCTTTAATTTTCTATGAAACTGAAGATTCATCCATCACTCTCATTATTACATTATTCTAAGTATTACAACATAATTTCCAGGAACTGACATGAAAGAAAGTTACTGTCACCTCCGAACTGTGCCTTTTCCAGGTTAAAAGGATACTTGTCTAGGTAGCAATTGGGAGGAATGATCAGCCGATGCAGGTACCCTAGGTTGCAGTTTTAGGATATTTCTCAGAGCATTTCTTGGTGTGGTCATTGAGGTCAGTTGCCTAAAAATAACTTGAGCTGACCCGCAGGAAATGCAGATTCTTGGTCCTCATTCTGGACCTACTAAGTTAAGTATTGAGGAGAGATGGCACCCAGCAAGGGCCAGATGGTTTGTGTGTGCCGGGCATTTGGGGAGTATGCTGTGCTTCATTCCTTCATGAACTTGATAGAAATGCAGACCCTGTTGAAGCAGCTCTGGGATAGGGCCCGAATCTGCATTTCTAGCAAGTGCCAGAGCTCCACATGAGCATTCACAGAGGCCTTACCATAACTGCCAGAACTTGGAAGCAACCAAAATATCCTTCAGTAGGTGAACAAAAAAATAAACTGGTATATCCAGACAAAAACTATTAAGTGGCACAAGAACCAGCTATATGCCTGTATATTAGAAACAAAAATTGGGTATTAAAGTGAAATATCAACATCCTCCTAATAGCATCAAAACTATGAAATAGGGATAAATCTAATAAAAATGTATCAGATCTACATACTGAAACCACAAAACACTTCTGAGAAATAAAGAAAGCCTAAATATATACATAAATACCATGTTGATGGGTCAGAAGACCCACAATTGTTAGGATGTCATTTTCCCAAAATTGTTGTATAGATTTAGTGCAATCCAGAAAAAAAAAACAAAAAACTTAGCTGGCTCTTATTTTAATAGAAATTAACAAAATGGCCCATCATGGTGGCACACATCTGTAGTCCCAGCACTCAGGAGGCTGAGGCAGGATCGCCATGAGATCACCAGTCTGGGCTACATAAGGAGTTCAAGGGCAGCCTGAACTACATGGTGAGACCCTGTCTCAAAAAACAAATCACCACCAGGAGAAGGAAAAAGTAAATATCTCAGTTTTTAAAATAGTAAAAGAAAGGGGGAGTTAGGATGAGCTGGTGGTAGTGT